ACTGTCACAGCCTTAATTTGGGAATATAAAAATAATAACACTTTTAAAGTTAAAATGAAACTGGTACCTATTCTCTGTTAGGTACCTATTCAGGTACCTAACAGCATTTTAAATATAAACAATTCTTTAGAAAAGGGTCATAGGAATTCTTGTCCAAAAAGCAAATCTAAAAGAAAGAAAAGGCTACCAACAGAAGGCTCTCAGAAATCTCATTTATTTATCACGATGTGTTACCCCCATCAGAAGGTAAGATCCTAAAGAGCAGGGACCTTGTGGGTTACCAGTGAGCCCCTAGTGCCTGGAGCAGCACCTAGGAATGAAGAGGTACCCAATAAACTTTTGTAAAACAGATGAATAAATAAACACAGTGAACTGTAATCAAACTCTATTACACAACTCATTTTATACAAAGTTGAAGTAACAATGTGGAAAAATTATCATAATTATAATATATTGCAGGCATATAAACATAAGCAGAAACAAGGAATAGAAGAAACGATGCAAAAATTAAACACATGGGGGGGTGGGCTGAGAGACGGTGTAAGCATTTAAAGGGATAACATTTAATTTATATAATAGCACCACAGTGTTTTTCAACTGAGTAATTAGGTAAAGAATTTTCGTATCTATTTTTACTTTGCCATCTTCCCCTCTAACAAATGTTTCTACATATCTCTTCATAGTTCTTTTCTGCCTCTTATAGCCCATCTGGAAAAACAAAAAAACAAAAAACAAAAAACCCTAACATTACCTAAGGCATTTCTCCTACTCAGAAGCTACTTCAAGTTAGTTTCAACAATCTGCTAATAAATGAAAGGGAAACAAAGAGATTTTAAAAAAGTAAATCTTTGAACTGAGCAACTGAGAAAGTGAAAAGTCCATGTTAATTGCATAGAGTTTAGACCTGGCAGTGTACTGTTGAGAACGTGCAGATTGGCATCTTCCTTTCTGTTATCATGCCCCTTTTCTTAAAAAATAAACAATTTCAAAAATAAGACCATAATTACGATAGTCTATTCTAATAGCTATTTTAACTTAGAAAATATAAGTTCTTCATTCAGTAGAAGGGATAGATCCAGAAAAAAATGGAAGAATTACTGCAAATATATCTGTACGGATGCTTGACATGGAATATTAAGGACACCTATTGGAAGTAAAGGAAAAGCACTAGAAAAGATAAACGATAATCCACAAAGTTAGAGTAAATTTCCAGACATACACAAAGAGTTAAAGGAACTTATGGGAAATAACATTTTCAAATTGTTTTTCAAATACTTTCCTGTATGCTGATTTTGCAAATGGAGTTTTAATTTTTCCAATAGATCACACTCTGGTAACGAAAGTTTGTATGCAGAAAAAGGAATTAAGCAGTTATCATATAATTTATAAGCTGAAAAATTTTAATTTTATATAAAAATTGAGATTGTAGGAAAAAACCCCAAAACAGTAGCTATAGTTTAGAACCATACACAAGTTATTAGTAGTAGTTCTTCAAAACTATTTAAAAACTTATTACCACTAAAAAATGATTTTCTTAAAATTCCACTTAAACATTTGCACATTTCAAAGTGTTTGATCAGGAAAAAGACACACTTCCAAGTGAAAGTTAACCTCCAAAAGAGGTATAGCAACCCCAAGATTAGGGATGATGAACTAAAAGCAGCACTCAGTGCTGTCACAGGAGATCTTTACACATTTTCCATCTCCAGAAATATCTCGTTTCTTTAGCTGGATGCTTATCATTTTTCAAGAAGAAAAACCCGTAAAGCAGTGATTTACTGTGTGTGGTTTTTGCATCAGCAGTCACTGAGTCAACTGGGATGCTTTATAGGAATACAGATTCAAACCCCTGTCCCCAGAAATAAGTCAATGGGTCTGGAATGAGCCCAGATATCTGGAATTTTAACATGCAACTTAAATAATGGCCTTAGAGATAGTAATCCAACTCTCTTCTTCACATGATGCCATTCAAACTGGAAGAGATTAGCTTAATTATCTGAGCCAATCAGTAGCAGAGCAAGAATGAAAACCCAGAACGGCTACAGCCCAGTCCAATCTTCTTTGCTCTAAATAAGCTTCCAATCTTCCATTTTAATAACTCTTCAACACATTCTGTAGCAGCTACCCTTCCACCTCTATCCACTGTTTGTTTACTTCCTCTGGAGAAAGTTCCAAAGGAAACTAGTAAAACTATGTATAAATAGAGGCAAGAAAAATGAAAATAGTTCATATGTGAGGGGGATGTAGGTCAGTTTTATTTTTTATTTTATTTATACTGTAAGTTATGTGGGTGATAAAAATCACTATTTTAATTTTTTTTAACTAAACTTTGATTCTTGGACTTAAATTAGATGTAATACAAATTAAGATACAGAGATTCAAATCTAACATCTCTTACATTTTTACGATTAGTTTTTTTTTCTATCATTTAAAAAAAGCATAAGATTACTTCATGTGTTGTGTGTATAAAGCTTTTAGAAGGGACATCTAACTATTTTACTATCTTTTAGTGCTTTTCCTAAAACACTAGATTAAAGCCCTCTGCATTCAGAAGGACTCCTTATTTAGCCTGTCACCCAAGTTCTTTCCACAGTCTGCTCAACCACGTAAGAAAACCCACGAGCAACTTTCCTCTGGAGAGAAAGACATATACCAGGATGTAAAAATAGATGAAACTGGAATGGTATGTCAGGGCCTAAACATGAAGGGCCTTCCTTAATTTATCCATCTGGTCTTGAGCCAACTAATTAATTCTGTAAGACTTGACTCAAGACCAAGTGCCTTAAGACCTGGCTCTATATAATACGATGCAATTCTTTTTTAAGACCACATATACAAACAATGGTGTGCACTTTTTAAAGGCGCACATATGGGCATGTTAAAGCATTGAAAACAGACTTGAAATATACATTCATCAAAAATAGGTTTACTTCTCAAAAGATGTGGAGGGGTCCAGCATAAATGCTTTAATTTTTAAGGAGATAATATTGATTAGTTGTATAGGGAAGGGTTTCTAATTCCCAGACTTCACTAGATGCCCTTTTTGCCCTTCTCTGTAACTTCTGCACAAGTCTAATAAAGTACTGAGCTCACCATCCACCATAAATGCTGATTTGTCTGACTTTTCCTCCTGGAAGGTAAGACTGTATTCCCCTCGGTAAACACATCATTTTTAGAGTGTCTGACATGGTATACAATGTTTACTGAATGCGCACTCTGAACCTCCTAGGCAACTAAGTTATTCAAGGAAAGAATTCTTAGTCTACTTCTAAAAGGTCACAAGCCAGAAATTTTCTTTTCAACATACACTTTAAAAAGACACTTTGATATAGTGGCTAAGAAGCTAGGCTTAGAGTTATAAAGTTCTTGTTTTAAATTAAACTCTGCATGATGAACTGTATTATCCTTAAACAAGTTACTTAATTGTCATTCTCCTCATCTATAAAACATGGATAAGAATATCTTCCTCCTACATTTGTGGGGGAGATTAAAAGGGAATGTTTATAAATTAATTAGCACAGTACCTGGTACCCAACATATGGTGGTCATTATTATGCTCTTCAAGCTCAATTATTATTAAAGCAAGAATTTCTTATAATTTTTTGCTAACCAGAAAGTATTAATAAAACTTTAAAAACATATACTTTTAGAGGATAACATAAACCCAGACAATCTAGCTAATATAAATAATGAAACTAGTAATTGGAAGTCCACCAGGTCTGTGCAAGTAAAAAATAAATACCTCAATTAATTTGGCAGAGTAACTTCCATTCTGATACATGCAAATTTTGCATTTTTAACCTTATTCCAATTTTTTTTAAGTTTTAAGCATCTTCACAGACTGAAAATGTTCAATTCATACACATTATTAAGCTGTACATCACCACCCTTCTTGAGGAATATGCTAACTCTCCACGTTATTAATATGCCAACAGTGCTCAATGATGCCTTCCACAGTTAATTGGCTAAGAAATCTTATCCTTAAAAATGTAATTAATAAATCCACACTGAAGTTCAGAGGATGCCTTGGATAAAGATCTATAGTTAATGTTTTTGAAACTACTGTTTGTTTTGAGTTGCTATCTCTATCTTCTGTTATGAAAAATGTCAGCATTTATATTTCACTTTATCATAACCCATGATAATTTATCACAAAATAAGTTCATGTTAGATTGGATATCCAAAACACACTGCTTAATTCCACAAATAATGACTAACTAATACATTCTAGGCTGAAAGATTAAAAATTCATTCCTAAAAAGGGGTAAGAAAATAATTTTCTTATGCATATTAAAAACCAGGTATGTTAGAGTCTACAGAATCAAATGAAATTAACAGAATTTGTTAAAACTAACATCAGTCTCCTCAAAACATTTAAATTCTCTACTGAGTCTTTTTGATGTTAACAGATTTAATATCCCAACAATCTATCTTACTTATATATGTGATATGTGTGTGTATGCATGTGTGTGAATGTGTGTATATCAATCACTTGTCTCTTGTCAATTATCTCCTCGGCAAGCAACGTATCTACTCCAAAAAAACCCCCAAATCCTGTAAACTGAAGAAAATATGTTACCTGTGCCTACTCTATAATTTTCTGTCACAAAACAAAAGAAATAACAACAGGTGCAGAACGAGGTCTATTCAACAATGGCTGTAATGGTTAATTGGTTCTTAATTATTCTCTCATGTAGTTTTGTAATGTTACTTCAGCTAAGAATACTTTTCAAAAATTAATTTTCATGATTCTATTTCCTCAGTTCCTTCAAAGGGTGATGTTCAGTCTCAAATTTGATGTAGACTACCTTCCTGATTCTGGTGGAACTGAGAAAATTCAACAGAGCAACTCTTTGTTATATTTAGTGGAGTACAGAAGGCAAAAGCAAAACTCTATCAGTAAAACATGAATAAGTCTAACAGAGCACTGTTGTTAATGTAGCTTTGTCATGTTTGTAATGTAAGGAACCACAATTTGCAATCACTGTAACATAGCTCACCTGTTCATTTTTGCAAAGCCACACACTGTTTCCACTTAACACAGTAAAAATTTTAGCTTTATAGCCTCTCAGTTCAAGATATCCACATTTCTCAGGTGCAACAGCTCCTTGAGACTGCGAGGAAAGGGCCTGTAACTTCAGTGCATTTAACAGGATGCTGATCCAGTCATTTCTCTCCTCTGAAAATAGACAAGAGAAAATACATATGCTTAGTAAGTTATAAACACATACAAATGTGGAAAGAGATTGACTTTCTCTGGAACAGATCATTTACAGATTCTTTCCCAGAACCACAATCTAAATGCTACTGTCAGCAGGGCAAATGGCCCAATTTTGTTAGGGAAAAGAAGTAACACTTATTAGTCATTCCTTGGTATCCACAGGAGATTGGTCCCAGGACCCACAGCAGGTACCAAACTCTGCAGACGCTGAAGTCCCTCACAGTCAGTCAGCCCTCTGCATTCTCAGGTTCATCAACTGAGGGTTCCACCAACCAGGGATCAAAAATATCCTCAGATGTGGAAATCAAGGATATGGAGGGCTGACTGTACTCAGATGTCCTGTAACCAATATCACTGGCTTCAACTGGCAGCTAAATAGAAATGCAAGATCCTAGACCCCCCTCCAGACTTGATGAATCAGAATCTTCATTTTAAGAAGATCTCCAGATGATGTGTATCCATGTTAACGTCTAAGTAGCATTCTGTTAGATTATTCATGAGATTGGATTGTCTCTTTTAATATAAGAAAGTAATATGGCTACTGAACAGGTAACAGATTGTACCCAGCAATGCAGTTACTAAAATATCCAGAAAAGCTTACTTTCTAACAGGCACTTGGAATCTACTCAAGAGTGTACTTGCCTTGATATTCACTCACCCATTCCATTCACTAACAATAGCATCTTCATCTGTTGAATTAAAACTTAGTTCTCTCACTCTTTCCACAAAGTGACCTTCAACTATGTACAACACATTGTGTTACAGGCATAGGAATGCGATCCAGACCCCAAAGAGCAATCAAAGCTATAAGTCAAGTTTGATATGAACACATAATGGAACACAGAATACTACAAATGTCATGCAAGAGGTATCAAATAATGTATGAGTCAATTCAGGGGAGGTAAGTGATTTGCTGAAGGTCATATAGCACGTATTAAAATTAGGAGAATCAAACGTTTTAATTCTCAGACAATTGTCCTCGGCACTATGAGAAAAAAAAAGGATATTTGTGCGAGCTTTTGAGGATGCGGAGCAATTTAAAAGACAAAACTGGAGTTTGGGAGGAGGATGAGCAAAACAGAATTCTAAGCAGAGGAAACACAAGACCAAAGGCAGAAACAACAAACATCTGCTCAGGGACTAATTTATGAATGAGCATATTTATAATTCTGAACTCACAAAGGAATAATGGGAAATAGGGCTGGAGATCCTACAGTGCCTAGGAGAGGAATTTGGTCTTTATTATGGAGGCAAAAGAAAACCATTTCAAAATTCTTGGCAAGAAAGGGACATGATTAAGATGACAGACCAAATTGGAAGCCTGGAGGTCAGGAATAAGGCAATAGAGACTTAAAGTATACAATGAAAAGGGAAACATATGGAGAGTCAAGATATTAAGGAGAGTAAAAAATAGCTGTGGTTTTGAATATGTTTGACACGTGTTCACCAAAAAATGAATTAATTACTCAGAATAAAAGGTAGCTGGGTATCATGAATCGACCAAAGAAGGTAAAAGGTTGTATTAACAGAACCACCTGAGGTTTTTAGCTCCCTGGCATGAGCGTCCAGGCAGACTGATAGCAATATGTGAATGAAGGTAATCTATACAAGGGAAGACTCATGACAGTGGATAAATGTTTAATGTAAAAGGAGAAGAAATGGTATACACCTGAGGTATAACTGATTCTAGGAGGCTAGAAAATGGGCCAGCAAAAAACAAATGGAAAAGTGATTATTAAGGTAAAAAGGAAAAAAACAAAACAGGCTAAATTCCAGGTAGGAAACTTTTTTGAGAAGGAAAGAGTAAGTAGGACCCAAGCTTGGGAAATTGCCTAGTATCTCAGATCCTTCTAAGACAGGTCTGGTTAGAGGTGATGTCATTGTGGATTGAAATAAGTCTCCATATTAGACTTGCTTACATTCCAGCATGGATCCAGAGTTATTTTACAATACAAGTCTTAATTTTTAAAGAATCTTCATTCTTTCTCACCTTCAAAACTACTAAAACCAGCTAGTTGTGTCTTTAATGACCAAGGCCAAAGTATTTATTAAAAACTCATTCAACAATATTTTATTGCAGGTATTACATAATCCTCAATAACAGTGTTTGTTCCTATATACCAGGATGAAATATTTCTCAAGTTTCCCCAGCATTATTATAAAGTAAAAGACATGAAAATATTCAGGTAACTAAGCCTATGTCAATACACAGTAGCTACTCTACATTTTACATCTACACAGACTGCACTGTAATAATTTATTACATTTTCAGTAACAGCAAAAGACCTTCCACTCTACTTGGTGATTACTTGTGATCATTAAGTCCACACAAGATATTCCTGCCAAGTAAATGGTATATAGTGTTTTCTGTTTGTTTATGTTAATCCATATAAATCACTGATTTTGAAATGTAGGTCATAATTTAATGAACGGGGCCAAAGTGACTGTGGTTTCCAGACTACCATTAGCATATATCTCAGTTTGTCAGGAAATAATTTGAAACTGGCAACTCCATTAACTGTTGGACTTTAGTATATTATGGCTGTATCTCAACAAATGGTGCCCTTATAGCCTAGAAGAATTCTCTAGCTCCTGAGGGCCTCATTTACTAATAGGAAGTATACAGTCATGAAGAACAACAGAATTGAATAGTAACATTCAGTTTATATTTAATTACCCATACCAATGGAGATAAACAGTGATACAGACAATTCAAACACAATGAAAGAGATTACAAGTGTCATTGGTATTTGGCTTTGCAAAGTGTGCATACTTGAACATGGGGAACATGCTCTGACAAGTCACAATATTCCAGAACAAATAATGATTTCCCCTTGGTCAAAGGCAAAGCTGGATACTAAGCTGGCTTTTGCCCGCTTTTCACACCAAAATACTTTTATTCTTTCCAACAACAAGTGTTTATTGAGCATCCATTTTGATCTTAGCACTGCGCTAAGCACTATTTCCTCTGAGAATATACTCTGATGTTGATATATCTTTGCTCAGAGTAGAGCATTCCAGGTTGGAAAAAGAAAAAAAGGAGTTAGCAATCCCCTCAAACCTCAAATTATTTCTTGAGGTTTTCAGGAATGCCAACTCAGAGTGTACAAATCAAAAAAAAAGAGATTTAAAAAAAATGAACAGGAGAGATTTAACATCCTCTGGACTACTGGATTTAGCACTAGGCATATTCATTAGTAAAAAAGGATTGATTATATGAGGGGTTACTACACAAGTGCCATGTAAAACATTAATAAAAGAATCTAACAAAGTCTGGATGTACTCTTAACTTTTGATATAATGTAATCTAACTAAAGATTCCTCAGTGTAACCCATGATCAATATTAGAAAAGGAATTATTACACACCAGTGTTGTTCTTGAAATTGATAATGATTCATTCATACAAATGTCTACTGAGTGCCTACTATGTTCTAAGCCCTATTCTGAATACCAGGAATGAAGCAGTGAGCAAGACAGATCATGGCCTTACTCTCCAGAAACTAACACTCTTGTGAAACGAGGAAGGCAATAAAATGTAGACATATTTTACACAGAGACAAGTGCAATGGGATAAAATAAAGCACAGGTTGAGGGGCACAGAAAGTGCTATTTTATATAGGGTAATAGAAAAGGGCTCAGAAAGAAGGTGGTGGTTAAGCAAAAGCCTAAAGGAAGTGGAAGTGATGGAGCAAGTTAGGAGGAGGACTGGAGGAAGAGCCTTCCAGGATACAGAAAGCAGAAAGTGCCAAGGCCAAGGCAACAGCAGATTTGGCATGCTCATGGGACAAGAGACCCCTATAGCTGCAATGCAGTGAATGAGGTAGAGCACAGAAGGAAACAAGGACAGAGAGACCAGGGTCAGATCATGCATGGACTCTGGGAATCACAGTACTTTACTCTCAGTGAGCTGGAAACAATGACAGAGCATCTGAAATAAACTGACAGGACCTGACTTTCTTGTTGAAGGATCACTCTGACAACCGTACTGAAAATACGCCTGCAGTCGATCAAGGGAGGTTGTGACAATCATCAAGATAGAAATGGTGGCTTGTAGGAGAGTGACGGCGGTGGAGGTGCTGACAATTGGTCAGAACCCCGACATATTTCCAAAATCAAACTGGTAAGATTTGCTGATGGCCTGGATGCGACCGAGGTAGGAAAAGATTCGATGATGACGCCAAAGTTTGTGGCCTATTAAATTATGATAGGCAATCAAAGTACACAACAGAGAACTTTCAACTCCCCTGGCTCTTCCTCCAGATAGCAAATGTTCCATGCCTTGCTCCTTTTTTTTAAATAAATTTATTTATTTATCTTTGGCTGTGTTGGGTCTTCCTTGCTGTGCGCGGGCTTTCTCTAGTTGGGGCGAACAAGAGCTACTCTTCTGTTTTGTAGATAGGTTCATTTGTGCAATACTTTAAATTCCACATATAAGTGATATATGGTATTTGTCTTTCTCTTTCTGACTTACTTCACTTAGTATGATAATCTCTAGTTGCATTCATGTTGCTGCAAATGGCATTATTTTGTTCTTTTTTATGGCTGAGTAGTATTCCATTGTATATTTGTACCACATCTTTTTATGCATTCACTGGTTGATAGACATTTAGGTTGTTTCCATGTTTTGGCCACTGTGAATAGTGCTGCTATGAACATTGGGGTGCATGTAACTTTTTGAGTTATAGTTTTGTCCAGGTATATGCCCAGGAGTGGGATTGTTGGATCATACGGTAATTCTATTTTTACTTTCCTGAGGAACCTCCATACTGTTTTACATACTGTCTACACCAACTTACATTCCCACCAACAGTGTAGAAGGGTGCCCTTTTCTCCACACCCTCTCCAGCATTTGTTATCTATAGACTTTTTAATGATGGCCATTCTGACCAACGTGAGGTGTACCTCATTATAGTTTTGACTTGCATTTCTCTAATAATTAGTGATGTTGAACATCTTT